CATGGTGGGGTTCAAAATAAGCAAGCACAAACCAAGTTAATCCATTCCTTACAACCCAAAAGATAAAATATGAAAACAAATAGCAAAGGGAATGAGGAAAAGCCTTCGACGTGCACTGCCAGAGCTTCTCTCGGCCACCACGAACTGTCCCAGCGAACTAGCTCCTCTCGGACGCCTAGAACGCCACTCCCTCTAGCTTGTCAGTGGAGGAATGTCGCGGCAAATAGGATTGGTGGAGAACTTTTTCTCCTAATTTTTAGCTCTTGGCGGCTGTCTAAAAGTTTCAAAGTCTATTTTTTCATTGTGGCTTCATCTTCTATTTATAGGGAGAGAATGAACCTAGGGTTTTGTGTTAAAATTACCCTAGTACCCTAAAGTTCATTCCTTTTTATCTGAAAGATGGTGCATAGGTGGTAATGGGCCATTCCTTTATGGCTGATTGCAGAAATCACGCATAGACAATGACAGTTGGCTCTTACTAAAAATATATTCTTTTATCTTTTCTGCCCAAAAATACCGTTTGAGTTGTCGCGGTAATCGCATTTTACTCAGTAGTTTTATCATGTCATGGCATTTCCCTTTTGCTTATCCTTGCTCCCAAATACTGCACATCATTAAACAAAACACATTCCCCATAATGTAGCACTGATTACAAAATAAAACGCCATGACAAACAGAATTCCACCATATGCAACTATATGCTTCTAAATGCATCTATATGATCCTATATGAGCTCTTAGACAGTCAATAACTTAAGTGAAAGGTTCCAAATATGACCATTTTACGGAGTTATCATAAGCTCAACATTCGGATGTTTTTCGTTGGCAGGTTAGTAGCATGATTAGTTCGTGAAGCACCATCGCAGTATGACTTCCAGCATCCCCGTCAGACTACTATACCATAGCTTAGTGGGCATATGTATTCATAGTACTTTACTTATGTATTCAATTATTAAACTCATACTTGTATGATTTGATTTTAAATTATGTGTCATGGAGCTCTAGTTTTGTAAAACATTTTATAATAGTTAATTGTGTTTAAATTATGATACTATTTATCTTGTTTAAAGAAAAACTAATGTACAACTTTGAAAATCAGGGGTTGCCTTGGTAGCCTAATGTGGCGCTTTAGGCCCAATCGGGTCTAGGGTGTTATAATCAAGGTTCATTAATTGTAAAAGTGGAATTTCTCTTTAATTGAATTTTAAATTCAATTAAATTGATTTTAAGCCAAGTGTATAAAGAAATAATACTAGAATAATCAAGAGAAAGGAAATTTTCAACTCATTTTTCTCTTTTGGCCGAAACTTCATAGCCACCTAAGGTAAGGATTTTGTTTTGATTTTTGAAGTTACATGATTAATTTTTGGATTAAGCTATTAGATAGAGAATTAATCTATATGAAATTCTCTATCATTTGGTATAAAAATTACATGGAAATCATATTTTTATGATGAGATTGGTGATTAGGGTTTATGAAGAACAAGTTTGATTTTAATGATTTAAGGCTTAATTTTTATGTTATTGATGTTGTAGATTAATCCAAAGGCATGAGTGGTGATTAAAATCAAGTGTAGATGCCTATATAGTATTCGATCATACTAGGGTTTATTGAGGTTGGATGGATTTTGATTGAATTTGATGTTGTGATGATTGAAATAACATGAATTTGATATAAGGAGGTTGAATTCATGTTTGAAATTGAATGGAAATCAAGTCCTAGCTTACTAAGGGTATTCGATCACAGGGAAGAAAATAAGGGACAATGTTGAAAAATTTCCTATGGTTTAGAATTGATATTAGATGTATTTGGAGATTGAATTGGATCAATTTAGAACCTTGAGATAGTAAAAAGAACTATTTTGCAAGTTTTGGGAATTGTGAGACATTGATGTATAAAGGTGTAATTTGGGGTATTCAATGCTGAAATTTAATTGTAAATGCTGAATTATAAGTTGGAAAGTTGGTTAAATTACAAGGTGGAATTGGAATAGTCTTAAAAAGTTGGGACTTAATTGTGAGTTTTCAAATGTGATGATATTATTTTAGTATGATACTATAAAGCTGGAAGTTATTATTCGAATGCTGATTTTTAAGTTTAAATATTGGTTTGGGATCATATTGCAAGTTTGCTAAAGTTAATGGTTGAATTCGAAAAGACTAAGGAAATTTAAGATAAAATTGTAAGTTTTCAATTGTTAAAATACTCGATTGAATTTGTTATTTAAATGCTGGAAATATTTAATGTTTGGTTTGAAGTAAGTAAATTGGTGAAGGACTATTGTGAATTAAATGGAAAAGTTGATGTGAATTCTAATAAGAATTCATAATTAGTGACTCAAATGCAAAACTTGTAAAAGTTGAAGAGTTGATGACGGAAATGTATATTTATGGAATCGAATGACTATTTTGGGAAGTTTTAAGTTATGATGGAATTATGATTTAGTTTTATATCAATTTTATTTTATAGAATTTTATATTATTAAGTTTAGATTATGTTAGTATAACACTAATATATAGTTTGAATATTTTGTTCTACTATATGACGTTTTCATATCACGATAAACCTAACGATTCGAGTGACACAAAAGGAAATGAAAAAGCACACGAGTAAAAGAATATCATAGAAAAAGTTCGATAGTGAGGCAAAGGTGAGTGCAATTTATTTATTTAAATATTTTGATCAAGGAAGACTTGCAATAAGTCAACCTCATATTATTTTTAAAGTAAGTTTTTTATTTTAATTATGAATTATTTCAATAATGTTTATATAAAAGTTTTATGAATGATTTAGGGTATGAACTGCCCAATTCATGTTTTCATGATGATGAATTAAAAATGATTTTGATTTTACAATGTTGATTATTAAATGAGTATGATATGATTTGAAACCCTATTATATATTGCATTGAGAGTCGTAGGTACACTTGGCATGCTATTAAGTTGAGTAAAGTAAAGTATGATTTTGATATGGTACATTCGTGTATGATATGTATAGCATCGTTGGTGCAAATGATAGGATTGCACTTGGAGTGCATCTTATGATGACGATGATGATTAGCATCGTTGGTGCTTAGTGAGCACATTATGTTCGACTCACGTACCTTATATTCTCTTAAATATACTTTTGGCTATGAAAATGAAATATAAAAGTTATGAAATGTTTGCGAATGGAAAAGAATATGAAATGATTATTTTCATTTGATAATGTTTATCATGATTTTGATAAAATCATAAGATGATAATGATTTTCAGGTTTTCGATGAAGAAATTAGCTTGAATAATCAGTTTGAAAGTTTAAAGATTTTATTTGATCTACTTTTAAATCTTTTAATGTATTTATGTTATTTTAATTATTTTATCTCACCTTGAGTTATTACCGCCTCACTAAGTTTTACTTAGTGCATGATGATTTTCATGCGTAGGTTCTGATAGAGAAAAAGACGTGAAGTGAGGAGCCTCCTGAACATCCTTTTGGAGATCGCATCTATTATCAATATAAGTAAGCCATCTTCTTCGATGTTAGTGGCATGTATATTATATATGTTAGTTCACTTTATTGAATTTACTTAAATGGTCTGTAATAGTAATTAGGACCATCTTGTTTTGGGTAGCTTTAGTTATATCCAAATCTATGCGTGAAAAATATATTTATCTATTATATTGTAAAATGGTTTTCAAAATTAAGCAATGTTTATGTAGTTTTATATAGTTTATGAAACAAAATTGTACTAACTTCTGCCAAAATCGATTTTTTTAATGATTAATTATTATTTTATGAATATATGTGAATATTTAAATGGATTTAAAGTTGTGAAAAGGGAGTTTTATAATGAAACAAAATTTTAAGGATTTATACTTAAAGAATGTTTGAAATGTTAATGTAATATCTTTAACTCGTATTTCGAGATGTATACGGGTTACGGGTGTTACAATTTTGCTATTCAAAACCAGTGAAATTTTGTTTCTTTAAAATTTTCAAATCAATTGTCTTTGTTTTAAATATAGTAATCGTATAAAATCATAGTTTAATATTTAATGTTAAAATCAAATTTATTTTTAGGCAGCAAACATGCAATTCAAAACTGGTTTATATCATAAATAATACTGCCATAATACTACCTAAAACTGCCTACTTTAAAAATCAGCAAATTAATACTTAAAACATGTTTTATTAAAATACTATTCATTTACACTACTTATTATACTAATTTTTTATATTTAAAATAATTGCAAAATAAATAAATTTCATATAAGAGCAATTAAAAAATCTATAATATACATGTCACAATATAAATAAAAAGTAACATTGTATGATGTCCAATGTCCTTATAGATTCTGAATACAGATTCGATTCCTCACAAATGATGCTAAAATGCCCTCTAATCTGCTCACTTGTTCGTACATATGTGTAAACAATCACACGTTAAATTTTCATTTTTTGAAGCATTCAAGATAACTAATTAAACATTTTTATAATAATGAATAAAACATCATATAAATATCATTTATAAAATAAAACTTTGCAAATAAAACTTTACTGTAAAACGTAAAAATCAATCCTATATTGTTCTAGTTCCTTATACTTGTACTATTTATTTTCTAGTACTATTCCTTTTTTTTGTATTATTTTTTTTGTTATATTCTTTTTCTCTCATTTTATAAGTATGAGAATATATGATACATTTTGATTAATCTGAATCGATTTAGGTTGTACATTTAATTTTAGTAGATGAGTCTTTCTAACAGAGATTTTTTAAATATACAAGAACTTAAATTAGAGACTCCACTTAAGTGATATCAAATTAAAAAACTTAAATTTGAGACTCCACTTAAATGATATCAAATTATTTAACCCCTCATAGACAATATTTTGATTTTGTTCAAATGCTTTTGATTTCCGTGTAAAAGTGAAAGTGGCATAACATATATATTTATAATTAGCAATATAGGCTTCCCCTGACCGTAGGAGGCAAGGCAAAGGGCACGAAAAAGAGCCCCAAATATTTGATTTCACAGATAGACAATTCAGCTACTTCCTAGTTCGTCTTTTCTTCTTGTTTCCCAGCTAGCAAACCAAGACCTTCCGTCGTCTGCCCAACGGCGTCGGTTTCAGTCCAAGTACACAAAAATGGGGAGACAGAAGGGTGAGGCAGCCAGGAGCAAGGCACGCCCTTCAAGCAGCAGGTTTTCCTTCATTTTTCTCTAAATAAAATTCTCCATTTATTAACAAATTAAATCTTTTTTGTTTAACCTATATGCTAATTGTTTTTTTACCTCTGCGGTTGTTGGATGGCAGTCTTGCGGCTTCTCTATTGCCATCGAGTTCGGCTGCCGCTGCGGTGGGATTTGGCGGCTACGTCGGTAGCTCCCGGCTTGATTCCACTCTCTCCACCGAAGATTCCAATCCTCTTTTGGTATTCAATTCCTCTTTACCGCTAAAAGCTTTTGTATCTTAATTGATAAAGTTAGCAGATATTTATTCTTCCAATTTTATGAATTGTTTGCAATTGCAGGATATAGATAGTGAAGTGGCACAACACTTAAAAAGGCTGGCAAGAAAGGATCCTACTACCAAGGTAGTAATATTTTCTTGAATACCTGTGATGAACTCTATAAACTTTTTGCAAGTAACACTTGACCACATGTCTTAGTTTTTCAATTATCATATTTTCAGCTGTAGCTCCCAAGCTTTGACTAATGTGATCACTTTTTTCATTTAATAAGCAATTGAGTTTATCTTCATGATTGAGTATATCCTGCTCAATTTACATGTCATGACCAGCTTCTTGTTCATTAACAGCTTAAAGCTCTGGCATCTCTGTCTGCTTTGCTCAAGCAGAAGTCTGGAAAGGAAATAGTTCCGATCATTCCACAATGGGTGAGATTTTAGTCTTTTCTTTTTATTTTTCATTGGGAATGCATCAACAGAATTGCACTCAAAAACCTAGTTTCTATAATTTCCTAGTTTATCTTCATGGTGAAAATTTTGAACTTCACCTGCATGAGGAGAAAAACCAAGAACAAAGAGGTCTACATGAAAATGTTTCTGAAATTGGTTAGTACATATTGAAGTCTAAAATATTAGAACTGAAAACAAGTTACTCCAAATGTGATCTCAGAAATCACAGGAACATGAAACTCTGATATTGTTGAGCTTAAAAGACTGGTTGATTGTTTGACTTCTTTTAGATATTAAAGAAAAAAAATTTAATAGTTTTTCAATCCTTAAGCTTGGTTTATGTGTTCAAGTATTGCTATGCTCTCCCTCATACAGGCATTTGAATACAAGAAGCTACTGCTGGACTATAATCGAGAGGTTCGGCGAGCTACTCATGAAACAATGACTAATCTTGTCACTTCTGTTGGGTTTGAACTTCTTCCACCCCCTTTTTTGGCTATTGAATATTGTTTTCTTACCTTCTTGTGTATGACAACTTAATGATTACATTGTAGTGAAGAATATTAATGATCAATCATGATTGATCCACTGAATGTTGGAAGTCCAAAAATTTTGGTCTATGTGATGCTTATTTGTGTGAATGTATTTTGTTTGAGCTATGTATTTGTTTCCAAATTTGGAAACAAATACATAGCTCAAACAAGAATGTTTTGAAAATTGATTTTCATGGAAGATTAGAAACTGATACAATTATATACACTATTTATTTAGAAATATCATGCCTATTGACTATTGAGTCATAAGAGGTGTGATGTATTGAAAATGACAGAACAAAGAAAAAGGAATTATTTTTTTCCTTCACAGTTCTGAGCAGAATCATTCACCTTATTTTGTTATGCAATAAAAACTTGGTTGTCTCAATTTGATGTGAACACGTTTAAGAAGAAGAAATAATTCTATTCACTTCTAATCTGAATACAACCTTTTAAAAATAGTAGAAAAATAAAAAATGAAATAATCTCTAGAAATTAGTCTATCCCTAAAAAATAGTAATTAGATTATGACTAATAGTACAAGGAAATTCCTAGAACTAAAGTAGAAAATCTGCTTAATTTAAGGAATTCCAACACTCCCCCTCAAGTTGGAGTGTAGATGTTAATCAAACCTAGCTTGCCCATAATTTCTTCAAACCTTTTTCTCGTCTGCTACTTGTTGTCTTGTAGGTAGATATGAAACACAAACTTCCCCTTTGTTAATTTTCTCCGTAATAAAATGGCGATCAATTTCTACATGCTTGGTACGGTCATGGTGTACAGGGTTATGAGCTATGCTAACTGCTGCCTGGTTGTCACAGTATAATGTTATAGGTTAGGATAATTTTTGTTCTCCCATTAGCCGTTATAACCACATTCCTTCACATATACCGTGGGACAGAGCTCAATACTCAAATTCAGCACTGCTGCGTGCCATAATAGACTGCTTTTTACTCCTCCATGTCACGAGATTACCCAAACATAGCTGCAATAACCGCTTGTGGAGCGCCTGTCATTAATAGCACCTGCCCAGTCTGCATCAGTGTAGACTTCTATGCTTCGATTTACATCTTTCTTGAAATGCAACCCCTTACTAGGAGTCCCTTTTAAGTATCTCAATATCCTGTAGGCAGCTTCCAAATGTTTCTCCCGAGGGGGATGCATAAATTAACTAATAACACTTACTCCAAAAGCTATGTCTGGACGAGTGTGAGAAAGATAGATAAGTTTTCCCACTAACCGTTGATATCTTCCCCTGTCTACCTGTTCTCCATCCTTATCAGTTCCTAATTTAAGATTGGGTTCCATAGGAGTCTCGGCTGGTTTGCAACCAACATTTCGACTTCAGAAAGTAGATCAAGAATATACTTTCTTTGAGAGATTTAAATACCTGCCTTTGACCTTGCTATCTCCATTCTAAGAAAATATCGAAAATTCCCTAAGTCTTTAAGTTGAAACTCAAGACTTAAGAACTCTTTTAGTCTTTCATTTTCAATAGAATCATCTCCTGTCAATATTATGTCATCTACATATACAATGAGAATACAACACTTCCCATTATCCAAGTGTTTGTAGAATAAGGTGTGATCCGCTTGACCTTGAATATAATGTCTACTAGTCATGGCTTTGGCAAAACGATTAAACCAAACCTTAGGGGATTGCTTTAGTCCATACAAGGACTTCTTCAACTTGCACACTTGGCCCTTGCTTCATTCGAATCCGGGCAGAAAATCCATGTGTACTTCTTCGTTTAATTCTCCATTGAGAAAAGCACTCGAATAGTATTCAGTTTGAACACTGGTGCAAATGTTTCCTCGTAATCCAACCCATATGTTTGAGTGAAACCCCTGGCCACAAGTCTAGCCTTGTATCGATCAATGCTCCCATCTGGTTTAAATTTTGTAGTGAAAATCCACTTACAACCCACGATCTTCTTCCCAGTAGGTAGTTTAGATATTTCCCAAGTTCCATTGTCTTCAAGAGCCTTTATTTCTTCCAACACAGCTAGCCTCCATTTGGTTGACTTAAGAGCCTCTTCTATGTTCTTTGGAGTTTCTACAGAGTCAACATGAGAAACAAAGGCATTGTAGGATTTAGAAAAGTTTCCATAGGATACAAACTGAGAAATGGGATGTTGAATGTAGCTCCTAGTGCCCTTTCTTACTGCAATTGGAAGATAGATTGAATGTGAAGGAGGTGAGACTTCTTCCCCAGGGCAGTCCTCGGGTAAAGATGGCATTGGCACTGCTGTTTCAGTTTCTGGCAGTTGATTTCTTCGAGAGTATACACGAAGTCGCTGAGTTTTTTCTTTTTTTTTTTCAAAATGAGAGGGTTGTTTTTCTTCATTAGTATGATTAATCACCCTTTTTTCTTGTTGCTGCACAATGGAGATAGGAAAAAAGGGTCCAAAATAGTGGCTGTAGGATTTTCAACAGGTTTTGTAGTGGTGGTAGGGCTGATAGAGTCTTGAGGTATAATGAGAAGATTGTTCAAGGTCTCATCTTCACTAAATATCTCCCCCTGAAGATGAAAGACTGAAAAATATGGCTTGTTTTCGAAGAAAGTAATATCAAGGGACACAAACATCCGGTGTAAGGTTGGAGAGTAGCATTTTTACCCTTTTTGTGTAGGTGAGTAACCAATAAAGAAACAAGTGTGGGCTCTAGGATCAAGTTTAGATCGGCTAGGTTGATGGTTGTGGGCAAATGATTTGCAACCAAAAGTTTTGGTTGGGAGAATAGGAACACGAAACAAGGGAAAGATTTTTTGAAGAGTATGTAAAGGTGTTTGAAAGTTTAATACCTTTGATGGGAGTCTGTTTATAAGATAACAAGCAGTGAGAACAACTTCTCATAAATACTTTGGTACACCCATAGTAAACATAAGGGCACGAGCACGGCTACAAGCTGTCTGTTTTTCCTCTCAGAAACCCCATTTTGTTGAGGGGTATCAGGACAAGAACTTTGATGTATGATTCCTTGCTCAGAAAGATAAGGACTTAGGATAGAATTAAAGTACTCTCTCCCATTATCAGTTCCAAGGGTGTGAATTTTGGAATTGAACTGGGTTCGAATCATTGAATGAAAATTTTGGAAGACTCTAGAGACTTCGGTTTTTTCTTTGAGGAGATAGACCCAACAAACTCTAGTGTGGTCATCAATGAAAGTTATGAACCACCTATCCCCTGTGATGTTTTTTACTCGACTAGCTCCCCATAGATCATTGTGGATTAAAGAGAAAGGTTGAGATTGAACATAAGGTTTCAAAGGATAAGGGACACGAATATGTTTAGACAGTTGGCAAACTTCACAATTCAAGGAACTTATTTTCTTATTAAGAAATAGTAAAGGAAACAATTTCTTGAAGTACATGAAATTCGGGTGTCCTAATCTACGGTGTCATAGCATGATAGAATCTTCTTTTGATGTAGATAAGGCCATCCCTTCTTGTGAACTGTTTTTGTTCCAAACATATAAGCCATCATCAACTTTAGTAGTGTCAATCATCTTCCCCGATTCCTGCTTCTGAACCACACAACCGAAAGCAGAAAATTCAACAAGTACTTTTTCATCCTTGGTAAGCTTGCTAATTGAGAGTAAATTGCAAGAAATATTTGGAATGTGTAAAACTTTATCAATGGGAAAATTTTCAGTAAGTCTAACTGTTCCCATTCCAGCCACCGGTAAGTAAGATCCATCAGCTATGTGAATCCGGGAGTGATCATGACAAGGTAAATATGTGTGAAACAAACTTAGATTACTTGTCATGTGGTTAGATGCACCCGAGTCTAGTATCCAGATAGATTCATGTGTAGTATTTAAGGCAGTACCTTGAATAGCTAGTGACACATTGGTTGTAGGAGTCCCAAGTAGTTTATGAAGAGCCTCAAGTTGAGTTTTGGTTAGTCGATCATCCTGAGCATCTTCTTCAGTAGTAGATATCATTGTTGCCTTGTTTTCTTTCTGATTTTTTCCAGGATAGCCATGGAGTTTGAAGCATTTTTCCTTGGTATGCCTAACACGTTACAGTGGCTACACCATTACCTATTTGAACCAGAATCAATTCCAGCCTTGAACTTTTGAGACTGTGGGTCTCTTGAAATAAGGGCAGAGTTCTTGGAAGGACGATGACCAGCTGTGGTCAATGGTTTTAGTTCTCTTGTGTCTCCCAACATAATAAGACGCCGTTTCTTTCCCTCCTTACTTCAGCAAAGCTTCTCCTATTGTTGGTAGTATAATTCTGCCTAGTATTCGTCCTCGGACCTCATCAAGATCACGATTTAGTCCCGCTACGAATTCATAGAGATGCTCTTTGTTAAGATGATCCATGAACTTGGTGTGTTCCGAGCCCTCGCCCCATTCAGCTTCATAATACATGTCTAACTCCTGCCATAAGATCTTTAGGTTGTAATATTGAGCGACTTCAAGTGTTCCTTATCGAATATCTTTCAACTTTAATTTGATCTCGAATACTTAGGAAGCATTTCCAAGATCCAAGTAATTCTCCTTGATTGCATCCCACATTTCTTTGGCAGTTTTGAAAAAAAAATACGTTCGGCTTATATAACCTTCCATTGAATTTATAAGTCAAGCCATAATCATTGAGTTGTTAAGCTCCCAAGTTGCATAACCAGTCTGCTGATGCTAGTCGAGGAATTTCTCCATTAATGTGCCCAATTTTTCCTCGGCTACGAAGAACCATAAGGACAGATTGTGACCATTGCAGGAAATTTTTTCCATCTACCCGATGATTTGTGATTATAAAAGAAAAATTAAGGCCAATTTGAGGGATTCCTTGACTGTGATTTTGAGTTATTTGTGAGATCTTAGTCTCAGACAGGGTTTCATTGATATCACCCATGAGAGAAGGAAAAAAAGAGAGGGATTTTTAGGAAGAGAGATGAGAGACGAATGAGTAGGATCGAATGAATCCTAAAGCTCTGATACCATGAACACGTTTAGGAAGAAGAAATAATTCTATTCACTTCTAATCTGAATACAACCTTTTATAAATAGCAGAAAAATAAAAAAAGGAAATAATCTTTAGAAATTAGCCTATCCCTAAAAAATAGTAATTAGATTATGGCTAATAGTAAAAGGAAATTCCTAGAACTAAGGTAGAAAATCTACTTAATTTAAGGAATTCTAACATGATGCATGTTTTTGTTGGCATGTTTTCGCAGAAGAGATTTGGCGCCGTATTTGAAGTCCTTGATGGGACCATGGTGGTTCTCTCAATTTGATCCAAGTTCTGAAGTTTCCCAAGCTGCTAAGCGTTCATTGCAGGTTTGAATCAAATTCATGTTTTCTGAAGGTTCAATCCTCTTGGCATCCTATAAACTGCTAGCATATGCACCATGCATGTAGTTTAGTTGTAACTTGTGAACATGTTAATATGATAGGATGCGGTGAGCTTTGAACGGTTGGTTTTCTTTATTTAACCATTTGTTTGTAAACAACAGGCTGCCTTCCCTGCTCAGGAAAAGAGATTAGATGCTTTAATCTTGTACACAAATGACGTTTTCATGTATTTGGAAGAAAATTTGAAGCTTACTCCACAAAATTTGTCAGATAAAGCCGTTGCTTTGGATGAGTTGCAAGAGATGCACCAGCAGGTATTCATAGATCTGTTCTGGATATGATTTTCTTAGGGACAAGTGTTGAACTCCATATTACTTAACCTTTTCAGTTGCAATAATTATCTCATTGTAAGCTCTTTTTTTGGGTTATTTTTCTGCTAAAAGTTTTCTGTTCATTTGATTCTTGACCGAGTGGCATCACTTATTTTGGAAATCTATAATTATATGGATTTTGGGGAGCTACTGAGTGTAAAACAATGTGCTTAATTTTTCTTAACCACCTCCAACACTCTCCAATCCTTGAGGACATCTAACAGCACATGCACATTATATGTTTGTTTGTGCAAAAATGCTTGTATGAGGGTATCAAAATTACATTTACAAATATTTTTTTATATGAAATTACAAGTACAGTTCATGCTAATCTTCTATGTGTTTTTCGAACATAAATCTGTACAATATTTGATATATTCTGAAATCATTACTTTAGGAGCATCACCAAACCTATTATATTCTTGCTTGGGTTTCTTTATCATGTCTTCTTGAAATATTTTGTAATTTCCCTCATTTCTGTTTAATTTCAGGTGATATCTTCTTCATTGCTGGCTTTGGCCACACTTCTTGATGTTTTGGTCTCTGTGCAAATAGAAAGACCTGGTTTTGAAAGTATATCTGCCGAACCAAAACATGCTTCTAAGGCTAAGGCGACTGCAATTTCTTTTGCAGAAAAACTCTTTTCTGCTCATAAATATTTTCTTGAGTTTTTGAAGTCTGAAAGCCCTGCTGTTCGTTCAGCTACATACACAGTCTTAAGAAGTTACATAAAAAACATTCCACAGGCTTTTGATCAAGGAAATATGAAAACTATTGCTACAGCTGTTCTTGGTGCTTTCCAGGAAAAAGATCCTGCTTGTCATTCTTCAATGTGGGATGCAATATTGCTATTTTCAAAGAGATTTCCTGACATTTGGACTACATTGAATGTTCAGAAATATGTATTTAAACGGCTCTGGTCTTTTATTAGGAATGGATGCTTTGGATCTCAGCAAGTTTCTTATCCAGCACTGGTTCTGTTCTTAGATACTATTCCTTCTAAAGTATTTTCTGGAGACAAAATTTTCCTTGATTTTTTCCTTAACCTATGGGCTGGAAGGAATCCAGTTCATTCTCTGAATGCAGATCGACTAGCATTTTTCAGGGCATTTAGAGAGAGTTTTTTTTGGGGATTACGTAATGCTTCTAGGTACGAGTTAATAGAGTTTTTACTTTGCGGCCCTTTTTGTGCAGTGGATCAGATGTTCTCAATTCTTGCTGCCTGTATCATTTTTTTTATATTTGGAATGCTAACTCATATTTTCTCTACTTACCAGATTTTGTGATATTGTTGATTCCATCTCTCATTTTCGGATCACCCTTATTAATGATATCCTTGTGAAGCTTCTGTGGCAAGACTACCTGTCATCTGTGAGCTCGAAAGACCAGGATAGTGATAAGCCTCTCCATGGGAAGACAACAGAAATGCAGAACATCAAGTATTCAATAAGTTATCTTCAGGAGTTGGGAAAGTGCATTGTTGAAATTCTTTCTGGCATTTATTCGCTGGAAGAGGACCTTCTCTCTTTCTTTTGTGTGGCGTTTCAGGAAGCTTGTGAGAGATTGCTTCAGAAAAAAGTGACCACAGAACAGCCAACATTGAATATAGAGCCAATTATGTCATTTCTTTTCTTAGTGGATATACATGCAAAGCAAAAGGGTGAATCTTGGCCTTTGCTGCATTTAGTCGGACCGATGTTGGCCAAGTGTTTCTCGTTGGTCAGATCGCTTGTAAGTTACCATTGCATGAACACTTGATGTTTGTCAGATATAAGTTGCTCAATCATGCTTATCTGTGCTATTTATGTTAATATGTAAATGCGTGAAGGATGTGATGGATGGCTATAACCACCCCCTTGCTGTACATACATCATCCTAAACTAGTTGTTTATGAAAAACTAGTAACTTATTGTTGCTGCTGGTTGTAATCATACTAGAGGCAAATTGTTTTTATATAGTGTTTTCTCACTAGTCCGAAAATCTATATATTATATAAAGTAATAAAGCGCTGTAAGCAGGAAATTACATCTATCAGTTAGATCTGATTCGCTTGGTTGATTGAAAGTAAGGTCTTTTTTTACCTCCTTGTGTCTTTGGCCCCTGAATTATCTTTCAAATGTCATTGTTAGCTGGATGAGAAATCAGTTCCCGAATCTCGGTGCCCTAGACTCCCTAAAATTGACTGTCTCTATTACGATTTTTATTGTGTTGGAAATTTGGTCATTGAAAGCCTTGATTTAGTTATAATCTGTGAGATATTCTAGGATTTGTTTTCTATGTAAATCAAGAAAAAATAGGAAAGTAGAAGCTGTCAAATATTGGCTCTAATTAGTTTCTTTTTTTGTTGTAATTTCCCTCTGTATAAAAGGAGCCTTGTACTCATTCAAGAAATAAGACACATATTATTTCTTCATTCTTTTCTAATTTGGTGTCAGAGCCATAATCGTGTCTTAACCCTAAAACACATCAGTTCCAAAATCACTGTAGCCATGTTCGAAGTCGCGTCGGAAATCACCTCAACCCCTGTTGCGGCCACTCCGCAGCACCACTCCAATTTTCATTCTGTCCAAATCACCACCATCCGCTTAAATGGTGACAACTTCCTCCGATGGTCATAATCAGTCCGGATGTATATTCGTGGGCAAGGGAAAATCGGTTACATCACTGGTGACAAAAAGGCTCCTACTGTTGATGATCCGCTGTACACTACTTGGGATGCTGAAAACTCCATGGTTATGACATGGCTGGTCAATTCCATGGAGGACATAAGCTCCAATTACATGTGTTATCCTACTGCAAAAGAATTGTGGGATAATGTTAGTCAGATGTATTTTGACCTAGGCAACCAATCTCAGGTTTTTGAGTTGACTTTAAAATTGGAGGAGATTCGTCAAGGAGATAATTCTGTCACCACATATTTCCATTCGTTGAAAAGGCTGTGGCAGGATCTTGATCTCTTCAACACATACGAATGGAAAAATATTGATGACTGTAATCACCATAAGAAAACTATAGAAGATAGTCGTATTTACAAGTTTCTTGCCAGCCTCATATTTGAGTTTGATGAAGTACGAAGAAGGATTATTGGCAGACCTCCTCTTCCATCATTGGCGAAGTATTTGCCGAAGTTAGAAGAGAAGAAAGCCGAAGGAATGTCATGCTCAAAAAGAAGAGTACTGGTGAGTTAATTGAAAATTCTGCCTTATTGAGTGATGTTGCAGCCTACAAGGCAGCAAACTACCAGCACAGGTCTGATGATAAACCACGGGTCTGGTGCAATTTTTGCAACAAACCCCGCCATACACGTGAGACATGTTGGAAAATTCATGGCAAACCTGCTAACTGGAAAAGCAACAAGCAAGGAGAGAAGAATCGTGGAATTCCTACTGCAAGTGAAGCTGACTCAGGTCCCTTCAACAAAGAGCAGATTGATCAACTCTTGAAACTGATAAAATCCAATTTCTCATCCGGTATTCCTAGTGTTTCTTTGGCACAAACAGGTAGTAATCCTAAAGCCCTTTCTTGTCCAAATTCCTCTCCGTGGATAATAGATTCCGGAGCCTCAGATCACATGACTAGTTTTTCTCATTTATTTAATACCTATTCACCTTGCCCTGGAAATGAAAAAATTAGAATTGCCGATGGTAGTTTTTCACCTATTACAGGAAAAGGACTCATTAAACTGACAGAGAAAATTAATCTCAATAATGTTCATGTCCTTAAATTAGCCTGCAATCTTTTGTCTGTCAGTAAACTATCTAGAGATTCTAATTGTTGCATTACCTTCTTTGAATCACATTGTGAATTTCAGGATCGGAACTCGGGGATGATGATTAGACGTGCTAGGATGATTGAAGGTCTTTATTACTTTGATGAAGTATCTATCAGTAATAAAAAAGTTTAGAGCTTTAGTGGTACTAGTTCAATTTCTATTCGAGAAAAAATAATGTTGTGCCACTATAGACTAGGACATCCTAGTTTTCTTTATTTGAAACACTTATTTTCAGAATTATTTAAAGGGATTGATTGTTCTTCTTTTCATTGTGAAAATTGCATTTTTTTAAAAACCGTCATTCCCCTTATTTACCAAAAGATTATCAGGCCTCCAAACCTTTTTATCTGATTCATAGTGATGTTTGGGGCCCTTCTAAAGTTACTATTATTTCTGGTAAAAGGTGGTTTGTTACTTTTATTGATGACCACACACGTTTATGTTGGATTTATCTAATGAATAAAAAGTCTGACATGAAAGATTTATTCAAAATTTTTTACACTCTGATTGAAAACCAATTTCAAACCAAGATTAGTATTTTACATTCTGACAATGGAACAAAATATTTTAATGAGCACTTAGGTGATTTTTTGAAAGAGAAAGGGATTTTTCATCACTCTACATGTCGGGATACCCCTCAACAAAATGGCATTGCAGAACGAAAAAATAAACATTTACTTGAAGTAGCATGTGCCATAATATTTTACATGCATGTTCCCAAATACTTATGGGGTGAAGCAGTTTTAACAGCCGCTTACTTGATAAATAGGATGCCTACTAAGGTGTTAACATACAAAACACCACTCCATTGCCTAAAATCATCTTTTCCTGGAACAAGGTTGTTTTCTGAGTTACCTGTCAAAGTTTTTGGATGTACTGTCTATGTTTATGTTCCATGCCAATTTCGTTCAAAACTTGACCCACGTGTTATTAAATGCATTTTTTTGGGGTACTCTTCAAATAAAAAGGGGTATAAGTGTTTTGATCCTTAAACAAAAAAATTTCATGTGAGTATGGATGTGTCGTTTTTGGAAACAAAACTTTATTTCACAAAAAATTCTCTTCAAGGGGAGACAAGTGATGTAGAAGACAATATTTGGAACATTTCTATCCCACTACCCAATGTCATTTATCCTACACAAAAATCCAAATTCAAGTGTTTCTAATAACGATTGCCTAGGAGAACCAGGTTTGTTGGTGCCTAATAAAGGAGATTTTCGTTCAGGGGGAGAAGTGCTACAAACTAATCAACGTGATTTGAATTCTGAGCTTCAGTTTTATACTAGGAAGAGATTTCATTTGAGAAATAAAGACTCAAATATCAACCCTGCACGAAACCAATCTGAAGATCTAAGTTCTGGTGTCGAAACTTCAGGTAATCCTATCCCTACTACACCTTTGATTTCCTCCACTTTGTCCAACAATTCTCCTAGTATTCCTGATCTTGATGTCCCTATAGCACTTAGGAAAGGTGTCCGAAATTGCACTCAACATCCCATTGCAAAATATCTTTCCTATCACAGACTATCAAAAAACCATAAAGCTTTCACATCTAGGATTTCACATTTGTTTGTTCCAAGGAATATACAGGAAGCATTGGATGATCCGAATTGGAAATTAGCAGTCATGGAGGAGATGAATGCTCTAAGGAGAAGTGGTACATGGGAGATTGTCGATCTACCCAAAGGAAAGAAAATAGTCGGGTGTAAATGGGTGTTTACAATAAAAAGTAAAGCTAATGGAAGCGTTGAGAGATACAAGGCGAGATTAGTGGCTAAAGGCTTTACTCAAACATATGGGAGTGACTACCAAAGAGACTTTTGCTCCTGTTGCTAAAATAAATTATATTAGAGTGTTGTTATCTCTTGCAGTGAACTCCGATTGGCCTCTACATCAACTTGACATTAAAAATGCATTTCTCAATGGTGATCTGGAAGAGGAGGTGTATATGAGCCTACCGCCAGGATTTGAGAAGAAACTTGGCAGTAACAAAGTATGCAGATTACATAAGTCACTATATGGACTCAAACAGTCACCAAGAGCTTGGTTTGACCGCTTTGGAAAGACAGTTATCAGTTATGGCTTCTTGCAGAGTCAAGCTGATCACACAGTATTTATAAACATTCAAAAGATGGTAAAGTTGCAATTTTGATTGTTTATGTTGATGATATTATTCTCACTGGTAATAATGAAACGGAATTAACTATTCTGAAGAAAAGACTAGCAAAGGAGTTCCAAATTAAGGACCTGGGAGCTCTTAAGTATTTCCTTGGAATGGAATTTGCAAGATCTAAGGAAGGCATATTTGTCAATCAGAGAAAATATGTTCTTGATCTCCTTGGAGAAACAGGTCTACTTGGTTGTAAGATGGTTGAAACTCCGGTTGAGCCAAACTTGAAGTTACAAGCTGCTAAGGTTGAAGAAGTAAAGGACAGGGAACAATATCAAAGACTTGTAGGGAAGTTGATTTACTTGTCTCATACACGGCCTGATATTGCTTTTGCAGTTAGCATGGTAAGTCAATTCATGCACTCACCAGGGACGGAGCATTTCGAGGCCGTCTATAGGATCTTAAGATATTTGAAAGGAACTCCAGGAAGAGGCTTATTGTTCAAGAAACATGGACATCTTCAAGTTGAAGTCTACACAGACGCAGATTGGGCAGGAAGTGTTACAGACAGAAGATCAACGTCTGGATACTGTTCCTTTGTTGGAGGAAACCTAGTTACATGGCGGAGTAAAAAACAAAATGTGGTAGCTAGAAGTAGTGCTGAAGCAGAATTCAGAGCCGTTGCCCATGGAATTTGCGAGGCGATGTGGATAAAAAGGATTCTTGAAGAATTGAAGTTTTCTTACTCGACTCCAAAGAAGGTCTATTGTGACAACAAAGCTGCTATTGCTATTGCTCATAATCCAGTTCTTCATGATCCCACGAAACATATAGAAGTGGATAAACATTTCATCAAGGAGAAAGTCAATGCGGGAATAATATGCATGACATATCTTCCAACTGATGAACAATTAGCTGATGTACTAACGAAGGGACTACACAAGAAGCAATTTGGTAATCTGACTAGCAAGCTGGCTATGGAAGATATCTTTAAACCAGCTTGAGGGGGAGTGTTGGAAATTTGGTCATTGAAAGCCTTGATTTAGTCATAATCTGTGAGATATTCTAAGATTTGTTTTCTATGTAAATCAAGAAAAAGTAGGAAAGTAGAAGCTGTCAAATATTGGCTCTAATTAGTTTCTTTTTTTGTTGTAATTTCCCTCTGTATAAAAGGAGCCTTGTACTCATTCAAGAAATAAGACATTATTTCTTCATTCTTTTCTAATTTATTGCCCTTTCATTTTTCTGTCATCTTTGTTTTTCTTTTCTGAATATAAGTGAATTTTAAATGGAAGTGTTGTTTCATAAGAAAGTGGATGACCAAAACATTTCTAGTTTAGCTGGGAAACCATCCCAGTGTTTCATTTGTCCTGCTCTGCTGCTGTCCATCTCTTTCATGATAATTCTATGTCATCCAATTCTTAAGTCGAAGAAACAGAGCATCTTTTCATGTGCCTATTGCATTATCTCTTATCTACACATGCTTTAATTTGAACATTCACATTTGCATTTTCCTCCACCACAGGATTCGGTAGATGGTGTGAGGCTTTTGTCTACTTCAGTTTCAATATTTGGAGCACGAAAGGTACTCCAAGTGATTTTTTCCAGCAGCAATGCACCTTTCTGTGGTCCTTCCTGCGACAAGGGTGGTGAAATGATGCTGGAGTATTTTCTTCAAATTTACAAGGAAACATTTGTTCCTTGGTGTTTGCATGGGCATAATAGTAATACCAGTGTTCGACTAGATCTGTTGCTTGCATTGCTTGATGATGAATGTTTCTATGAGCAGTGGCACGCTATTATCACGTATGCTATTGACTTGGTAAATTTTAAGGGCTCAGGTTCCATGGACTCAAATCACTTAGCTGTGTTGGCAATGCTTTTTGAGAAGGCGAGAAATGAGATTAGGATAAGGAAAGTGGGAGACAGTTCTTTTCATCGGCCAGGTTCCGTCCCAGATCATTGGCATCACGAGCTTCTTGAAGCAACTGCTGTTTCTGTTGCCTCTTCCGTTCCTCCTTTTAGAACTTCTGATGCGCAGTTTCTGTGGTATGTGAATGCAAAAGCGTGACATGTTTTATCCTCTGCAATTTGAATTTCAGGAATTGGTGAGCAAGTATCAATATTTACCACGAAGACTGCTAATATATTGCTGTACTGTTGACAAAAAAACCTTCGTTGAATACAAGTAAAATGGTTCCATAAGGATGGTCCATATGCTTTATTGTTTATAGTACATCATCCCATACCATGACATTTGTGAATGACTGACATGACCTGCCATATTTCTTAGAAAATTATAGCAGATATTTGCTTTCTTGAATAACCTTGAAACAAAATTAATGATTTTGAGGATGTAAGCGGACCTTAAATTCTTGCTAAAACATTGACAAAGACTAGGCTGATTATTTGATAAATGTGGAGAATTGTCTCGTATTGAGTCCATAAATATTTTGCTGATCTATGCATTTATATTTCTCAGCTTTGACTCTTATTGTTTGTACCATCTGTAGTTCTGTTCTTGGGGATGCAACTGAAGGCAATCTAGATTCATTTGTCTCCAGGAAGTCAATGGTCCTGCTATTCAAGGAGGTTTTAAGAAAGCTAAATTCTTTTATTATGGATTCATCTTTCAGTTCTGTTAAGCAGGCTGGTGCTTTGCTTGATCCTGAAGAGAATTGCCTTGGGTTAGCTAGTAAGAATCCTGCAAATGTGGTTGATATGGCTTGTTTTGCTCTTGGAATAGTTGAGGGTAGTATCTTTTGCTTAAGGGCACTTGATGAGGAAATTGGCTTGGTTTCAAGTATTTCAGCTGCTGTGTTTATTATTGACTGGGAGTATAGGATGACTGTAGCAAGAGAGGATGCTCTAGACGATGAATCGAGGAAAATGATTGAGGCACGAATGGGCATTTGTGAATCAGCACATGGTTATCTAACCAAGATAAGCAATTTGTGGAAAAGCTTCTGCAAAGATGTGAGACAAGGAATAAGGACTATCTTGATTTGCACTATTAGATTTTCCGTTTTCAGGGAAGATGAACTAGACAATAATAAATTTGCGTCTTTGTGCTGCGCGATGATCATAGATGTGATTGAGCGTCTTTGTCAGGATCAGTATGAGGAACAGAATCTTTTGGATCATCTTCTAAGCAAAGGTGATATGTGGCCTAGGGGGATCACACCCTACTTGAATTCCATGGATGGACTGGCTAAATCAGATGATGAAAGAATATATGGGACTGTGAGTCACTGAGTGCCCTTTTTATATCTCACTCACATGTTATGATGTCATTATTTGCCCCTTTTATGACGCAAGTCTCTCTTTTAAATTTATGGTAACAATTTAACTGTAGTAGGATGGTTTGAAGTGCCTTTCTTTTGCTATTCAATGTCTTTTTTGAATGTCTGTCTTAAGTGGTCTGTAGAACTAGTATACTTCTTTAAGTGAAACTATAGTGACACATAGTTTTTCATAATCATATAATTGATCTTTTTAGTGTGTGCTACAGTTTTTACTAGTGGTTTGCTGAATGTGTACAATTTGCAATTTTCTTCAAGTATCATTAGTTTCCACAGCAAGGTTGAACTCAAGATTAACAAATTGCAAGTGTTTGTTGGATGCAGGCATATGGAAACTACAAGTTCATTTCTTTAATTGATAAACTTATTTATAAACTTGGGTTTCATAAAGTCATTGCTTGTGATGATGGCTTGGACACTTTACCATTATCAACCAATGCTTCAGCAAATACTGAGGTTACTTCTCGAGCTTGGGTTGCTGCTGCAATACTATGCACATGGAAATGGCCAGAGGGAAGTGCTGCAACCTCTTTCTTACCTGAACTTGTCTCATTTGCCAAGAGTAGAAATTATTCTCCCTATGGGAGCATCTTGGATTCCATTTTCAACATTTTATTTGATGGTGCTCTCATTCATGGTGAAAACTGTTCACAGAGTTCACTTCAGGCATGGCCTACTTTAGGTGAAGGTATGGAGGATATTGAAGAGCCCTCTCTAAGAGCTCTTGTATCTTTCCTTTTCACCTTGTTAAAAGAAAATATTTGGGGTCCAGAAAAGGCCATGGTTCTGTTTCAGCTTCTTGTAGATAAACTCTTTTTAGGTGAAACAGTTAACTCAAATTGTTTGAGGATACTTCCTTCTATTTTATGCGTTCTTGTACCAACCTTATGTCAAAGAAGTATCAGGTCCAGTGAATGTACTAATAAGGACGGTGAACCTGATCCACTTTATGAAAATCAGACACAGGACACTGTCAAAAGCTGGATCCAGAGGATTCTACAATTCCCACCTTTGGTCACATGGCAAACAGGACAAGGTATGCATGCCTTTTTGGTAATTTATACCTGAAAGTTAATTTTATGGTTTTAGACCAATTGTTCTTGGGTCATAATGGTATCTTTTGTCCCTTTGATGCATACGTTTACATCTTGCGCAAAGATGAGCTTCTCATAAGAATTTTCTTTTTATTTGGTTGCATGTGCTTGTTGGTTGACCTCATTCACTCCCCTTGAATATCTGCATGATTTGGTTGAAATATGTTACTTCTACTTTAAGTTGTGTCATGTCTGACTTTTTCCTTTTTTTGAGTGAGGGTAATAGATATGGAAGAATGGTTCCACTTGGTCTTATCATGTTATCCTGTAAGGGCTGTTGGAGGTGCTGAAACAATGAAACTGGATAGAAACATCGATCATGAAGAGAGGGAGCTCTTACTGAATTTATATCGGAAGCAGAGGCATGAAAGTGGTAGATCAATTGATGCTAATCAGTTGCCAGTGGTACAAATGTTGCTGTCAAAGCTAATGGTTATTTCTCTTGGTTATTTCTGGAGAGAATTTGATGAAGAAGATTGGGAGTTTCTATTTTCGCACCTAAGAGGCTGGATTGAATCAGCAGTTTTGATGATGGAGGAAGTCGCTGAAAATGTGAATGATGCAGTAACTGAACACTCTTCTGATAACTTTGATCTTATTCATAAAAAACTTGAAGAAAGTGTTTTAATTTCTGACCATTCTCTTATAAATATCAGTAAAAACTCACTCATCTCATTTTCTTTCCTTGATGGCCTTTTGGAACTCCAAGCAACAGAAGACACGGATAATTTAAACCCCTTGAGAACAGAAAGATGGGATCCTATTAAAAACCAGATTCTGGAAAGCATTCTCCGCTTGTTCTTTTCCACTGGTATTGCCGAGGCAATTGCTGGTTCTTGTTTATTTGAGGCTGCATCTATTATATCAGGTTCTCGATTTTATCATCGGTCTTTCTGGGAATCAGTTGCTTCAGGTGTCCTGAAATCTCCTTCACATGCTAGAGATGAAGCAGTCAAATCAATCGAACTCTGGGGACTAGGCAAAGGGCCTATTTGTGCTTTGTTTGCCATCCTCTTTACTTCCAGACCAATACCGCCTATGCAGCTTGCTTCCTATACTGTTTTGTCAACAGAACCTATTTCTAAGTTGGCCGTCTTTGGTGAAGGAATTGCACCTTACTCGGATGTTGATTCAAATGCCCAGGAGTCAATTCATCTCGATCTTTCACCAGAAGAGAATGTCCATTTGACGAAAGAATTATCTTACATAATTGAGAAATCACCTTATGATGTTCTTGATATGGATTCAATGGCAGAGCAACGGGTATATTTACTTCACATCCTGAATTTTGATGATTTTTTTCCCCATTTGATATAATGATATATTATTATTCATATCTGCAGGTACATCTATTCCTTGCTTGGGCTTTGTTGTTATCCCATTTGTCATCATTGCCTTCATTATCATCTCCAAGGGAGAGACTGGTACAGTATATTCAAAATTCTGCTAATCCATTGATACTAGATTGCCTTTTCCAGCATCTACTTTCCGACTTATCTGTAGTGCATTTTCAAAAGAAGAAAGATGGGGAGCTTCCTAGCATTCTTTCAGAAGCTGCAACTGCAGCCAGACACTCCATCACGACAGGGTCATTATTGTTTTCGGTGGAATCACTTTGGCCTATTGAACCTCTGAAAATGGCTTCATTTGCTGGAGCAATATACGGCCTTATGCTCCGTCTGCTTCCTGCTTATGTGTGGGGATGGTTTAGTGATTTACGGGACCGTTCTGCTTCATCAATGATTGAATATTTTACTAGAACATGGTGCAGTCCTCCTCTGGTTGCAAATGAACTATCCCTGGTGTGTATCTTTATCTAAAATATCTTTATTTCTAATGATCAAAGTAATTGTTAAAAATTTAGTGATCCTCTACAGTGCTCATTGAATTTCAAGGTTTTTTAAATTTTTAGTCATTATTTGGACAATTGCTGATGTTGGAATTGCTAGATCAATTGTTCTCAAATGAAAAATCACAAATGCATGCTTTAACGTCCTTCTACTTAACAAGATGGTTGTAGACAATCACTTATCAGTAATGAATTCAAGTTTATCTTTGCCCGACTTTCTCTCTGAAGCACTTCCGTATGAATATTTTTAACACTTGACCGGAAGAGGAAGAGACCGAAAAGAAAATTGATGAGGTTGAACTCTGTACTGAATTACTTAGTTTTGATAAATTTCTTCTGCTATGCAGATAAAGACATCAAATTTTGCCGATGAGAACTTCTCAGTAACTGTAAGCAAATCAGCAAATGAGGTTGTTGCTACCTATACAAAAGATGAGACAGGAATGGATCTAATTATTCGTCTTCCTTCATCTTACCCATTACGGCCTGTAGATGTTGACTGTATGAGGAGCCTAGGGATAAGTGAGGTGAAGCAGAGGAAGTGGTTAATGTCCATGATGATGTTTGTTCGCAATCAGGTAACTAGCTACTAGCTAATATATTATATGCATTCTATTTCATCTTTAATTTTCTTCCTCCCATTTAATGAGGTACGTTTCATTCGTGATGCAGAATGGAGCTTTAGCTGAAGCCATACGAGTATGGAAGCGTAATTTTGACAAGGAATTTGAAGGTGTTGAAGAATGCCCTATATGTTACAGTGTTATCCACACTGTGAACCACAGCCTCCCTCGTCTTGCTTGCAAGACCTGCAAGCACAAATTCCATGCAGCGTGCCTCTACAAGTGGTTCTCAACTTCTCACAAATCTTCATGCCCCTTATGCCAGTCTCCATTCTAACCTTCAAAATTAGTTATGGTTTTTTTTGGCACTGTTGCGTCCCTGCAATGTTCATTACCAAAGAAGTGAAAATACTGACAGCATAGGGTCTTAGTTCATGTGATATTGTGAGCAAAGACGAATACAGCAGATGTTGGTTCAGACTGGGGGCTGAGAGGGGTTTTACATGTAACGATGGGTAAGCTCTCTCTCTCTCTCTCTCTCTCACACACACACACACGTGCTGGTGATCTCCCCAAGATGAGTTCAATCTGAGCACGATTGGAGCTCAGTAATCTGGCTTTTCTTCTCATCTATTACTGTGTTTCATTTTGTTTAATGTTTTCATTTGAAAATTCTAAAAACTTTAGTTGGCATTTCACTTACAGGTTTCGTACGTTTACTGAATCAAGCTGGCTGCTTCTGTCAACAAGGGTTTTGCTGATTTTCAGCCAACATACAACTTAGAAGACCCGAGTTTATCATATATGATATACAATATGTATTAAATGTACGAGTATTTATTGTGGTATGAGTATTTATTGCGTACTTATTTCAATTTGCCATATTGATCATAAACAGTAGAGTAGTGTCGGAATCGTCTTTCGGTTTGGTTTCGAATTGGGCTTCGACTTGGATTAAATGAATTGGAGTCGTCACTGACTATTTAAAACGAATTTAGGTAGGTCGGACACTATTTTACTTGATCTGCGTTGTACCAGAAACGTGTCGGGTTCGGGAGTCGGTTATGGTCAAGGAATTATTAGTATCCTTGAATCGACCTTTCGGTATCAATTAATTCATCGGTTTTCTTAATCGTGAAAATCAAAATTAAAATTAAAATTTAAAAATTCAATTCGAATTAATTATCTTTGATCGATTGAAAGTATCCTTAAAAAATCAAAAGTGTTGGATTGTAAAAATAAAAATAAACATGAGAAAATAATAATAAAAAATATTAATATAATAATATTAATAAAAATTGAAATATATATATATAAAACAATATAAAAAGAAATAAAAATATTAAAATTAGGAGAAAATGAAAAATATATATAAAGTAAATAAATAAAAAATGAAATAAAAAGAATAAGTCAAAAGTTGTTACATCTCTCATATTTTGCGTGTAGAGAAAATAGATTTACAATGAAAATGTTCTGTCACTCCTCGTGTTTTTAAATATTGGCTTTGGATCTTCCATGATTATTTTTTTGTCCTTTTCTTCTCTCAATTTTTTCAAATCGTTGTCCTTTCCTTTGATTTTGGTTCCACGTTTTTCTCTGTGACATTTCCTCTTGATGTTTGAGTCTATTTATAGTCTAAATAAACCTATTTTTAGCTTAGATTTAGAGTCCTACTTGGACTCAAAATGTTTCGGTTTTAGTGTTTCACTAGGACTCAAATAAGTTGGTTTTAGTGTTTTAATATGACTCAAATACGTTAGTTTTAGTTTTTCAATAGGACTCAAAGGCGTTGATTTATTTTCTAAATCTTACTAAATCAGTGTTGTTGAGTGTGGGGTCTACAAAAATAATAAAATAAAAAATATTAATAATAATAATAAATAAATATAATATAATAAAATGTTTTTGTAGACCCGGACAAAAACGGGTGTCAATAGCTGCCCCTCTTTGTACATTTTTGTGTTAACAAAAATAGATCAAAGATGAAAAAGACAACCAATTTTTTGTCCGGTTCTCTTTGATTTGAGACTTGATAGTGACACTAAGCCGATCCATTGGGCACGATATCCTTCTTCTTGAAGTCGAAATCATGGGTGAGTTGGTAAATGACTCTTTGTTGTCAAACTTTGTCGACCTCGGTTTTTTTCTCGATTTAAAGACCTGGGTGTAAAAATTTGACCGGAAAGTAGTTCCTTGCTGATGCAACGCAGTTGATACACCCTTGAGCTGAATGGAATCGAACTCTAAGGTCTTTGGCAAATAGCCCTTCTTGCCTTGAGCTATGCTGCAAAAGATGGTGTCTTTGAGCAGAGTGAAGTCGAACTCGAAGGTCTTTGTTGACAGATAACCCTTTTAGCCTTGAGTTATACTGTAAATGATGTGCCCTCGAAGCTGAGTGTAATCGAACTCGAGGGTCTTTGGCAGACAGCTCTTCTCGACTTAAGCTATGCTGCAAATGATGTGCCTTGGAGCTGAGCGTAGTCGAACTCGAAGGCCTTTGGTGGGCACGATTCTTTTCGTCGTGAAGTTGAAACTGTGGATGGCACATTCGTTGTGAAGTTGAGCATCGAATTGGATATCATTCATCGTGAAGTTGAAATCCAAATATTTGTATTGTTTCGAGACCAATATCCTTCGCCGTGAAGTTGAAATTGACTCTAAAACTGGAAAGTTGCTTGTTGACAGTCAGTTGCCCCTTCGCAGTGAAGTTGAGCTTGTATTGTCTCGAGTTTAATATCCTTCGCTGTGAAGTTGAAATTGACTCTATATGAAACTGAAAAGTTGTTTGTTGACAGTCAGTCGCCCCTTCGCTGTGAAGTTAAGCTTGTGTTGTCTTGAGTCCAATATCATTCACTGTGAAGTTGAAATTGACTCTGAATGAAACTGAAAAGTTGTTTGTTGACAGCCAGTCGCCCTTTCGCTGTGAAGGTGAGCTTGTGTTGTCTCGAGTCCAATATCCTTTGCTGTGAAGTTGAAATTGACTCTGAATGAAACTGAAAAGTTGTTTGTTGACAGTCAGTTGGCCCTTCGTTGTGAAGTTGAGCTTATGTTTTCTCGAGTCCAATATCCTTCGCTGTGAAGTTGAAATTGACTCTGAATGAAACTAAAAAGTTGTTTGTTGACAGTCAGTCGCCCCTTCGTTATGAAGTTGAGCTTGTGTTGTCTCGAGTCCAATATCCTTCGCTTGTGAAGTTGAAATTGACTCTGAATGAAACTGAAAAGTTATTTGTTGACAATCAGTCGCCCCTTCGCTGTGAAGTTGAGCTTGTGTTGTCTCGAGTCCAATATCCTTCGTTGTGAAGTTAAAATTGACTCTGAATGAAACTGAAAAGTTGTTTGTTGACAGTCAGCCGCCCCTTCGTTGTGAAGTTGAGCTTGTGTTGTATTGAGTTCAATATCCTTCGCTGTGAAGTTAAATTGACCCTGAATGAAACTGAAAAGTTGTTTGTTGACAATCAGTCTCCCCTTCGTTATGAAGTTGAGCTTGTGTTGTCTCGAGTCCAATATCCTTCGCTGTGAAGTTGAAATTGACTTTGAATGAAACTAAAAAGTTATTTGTTGGCAGTCAGTCGCCCCTTCGCTATGAAGTTGAGCTTATGTTGTCTCGAGTCCAATATCATTCGCTTGTGAAGTTGAAATTGACTTTGAATGAAACTGAAAAGTTATTTGTTGACAGTCAGTCGCCCCTTCGCTGTGAAGTTGAGCTTGTGTTGTATCGAGTCCAATATCCCTCGCTTATGAAGTTGAAATTGAATCTGAATGAAACTGAAAAGTTGTTTGTTGACAGTCAGTCGCCCCTTCGCTGTGAAGTTGAGCTTCTGTTGTCTCGAGTCCAATATCCTTCGCTTGTGTAGTTGAAATTAACTCTGAAAAGTTGTTTGTTGACAGCCAGTCGCCCCTTCATTGTAAAGTTGAGCTTGTGTTGTCTCGAGTCCAATATCCTTCGCTGTGAAGTTGAAATTGACTCTGAAAAATTGTTTGTTGACAGTCAGTCGTCCCTTCGCTGTGAAGTTGAGCTTGTGTTGTCTCGAGTCCAATATCATTCGCTATGAAGTTGAAATTAACTCTGAAAAGTGGTTTGTTAACAGTCGCCCCTTCGCTGTGAAGTTGAGAAACCACCATCAATTTTATAAATACGATTTTGAATCGAGTATCTTTCATCTTGAAGTTTAAATTTGACTCTAAAAGTTGTAAAAAAATTTATGTGTGCTAAAAATTATAAATGTGATGCCCTTAAGTATGTCTAAGATGCATGCAACATGAATGAGTTATGTCTTATCTCTTTGATTGGAGTTCCGTGTTTTTTCTGCCAATCTGGTCCTTGGAATCGATCGTGCCCCATTTGCTTCTCGAGCTTTGCTTTACAGACCTTTCATATTTTAAACTGTCTTATTTGAAAATGTTTTTCTCCTTTTTCTTTTTTTAAGAGGGGACATGATAAAAATTCTGTAAAATATTGTTCGCAATTGAATCAAATTATAAACATGAGTTCAAGGTATATCAAATGAATCAATAGCTCTTTTAATGCTTTCAGAGTTACAGTTCTTTGACAAATATTCAAATGGATGAGTTAACTTTAGGTTGCCCTCCTTTTTAAGATTTGGTAACCCAAAATGTCATGTTTTGAAATATCACAACATGCTTTTTTGGTTTGGCATTTTAATTGGGCGCGGACAAAATGACGCAACTAGCATGATCAATTACTAGACCTTTTATTTCGGTCCTCTGAAATCTTTCATTTATTCAAATTTTGTAAGTTCCTCTAACAAAGGTAGTGCAGAAATATCGGTCTAAGAATGAAATTCCTGAGTGCTTGTGTGAAATTGACTATAACAGGTGTTCCTTAACTCCCTTAGTCCATTACCAAAAATTTCTTGCTTAGATAAATTTGATTTAATTTACCGTTATCTGGCTAGCTGAATCCATAAAGCCTGAGCGTTTAACCAATTGTTTTAGAGGGACAACTTAACATTATAATCAGTTTTATCAAGTTAACCGAATGGTTCATCTCATCACAAAGTCTTCGACCGGACAATAGCAGTAGAGTAAACACTGAATTGCCAAGTGTTCAAGCAATATCATGGTTTGAATGTAACCTATTCATAAGGCCAAAGCTTTCAAGTTTCCTCTATAACCAATTGCCTTAGTGGAATAACTCACTTTACGATTTTAATTTCTTAAGATTGTCAAGAAGAACCTGTTATAGTCTAGGTGTTTTTGAAAGTCAAGGAATCTCATCTTTAAAGTTCAATTTCCAAACAACTGACCTAAACTAGATTTGATTACTCGACTATTCCATCTGTGAAGATCATTATCATCACTGAACATCTTAAACAAAAAGTATAGAAATGTCATATGCAAAAGGATACCCCATGTTGTCCGCACCATATGAAATGAAAAGGTTATATTGGTTAATTACAAGAGCAGGGTATGGTGTTTGAGGGTATATTTTGGGTAAGGTCAAAGTCCTTGTTTTAAATCATGTTACTTTGTCAGAGATCTGTAACTTTGAACCATTTACAGAGTTTCTTAATTCAGTTGATATTCAAAGAATTGCAAGTTTACAAATGTGATTCATTGCTCGTCATCATTAAAGTAACAAAAATTTATTCAAATGTTCTTACAAAAACTTGAGAAAAAAATGAAAAAACAAACTCAAACAGAATGCCTCAAATGATGAAATGATCTGCCTCACTTAGATCCCCCAAGTTGTTGAAGTCGATCCAATTCTTGTTATGTATTTTTTGTATGATTCTCTTGAATGTGGAGTAGTTCTTGATAGTGCGCCCTGGGACACCACTATGGTATTCACAATGAGCGTTCTTATCATACTACCTGGGGTACAAGGGCTTCATGGATTTCTCTAG